TTTTTTTAACCTAAGATGACCTAAGGTTAAAAAAAGAGCAGGAAAGGTTTTTTTTCCTGTTCTTATCTTGGATTTCTGTTCTCAAGTAGAAGCAAAATTTAGCAAATGGAGTTGTTCTTAAGTTGGATTGTTCTTAAGTAGGGACGTTCTTAAGTAGAGACCCCACTGTATTCAGAGCACATTACCATTGTCTCTCAAGACTGAAGGATGCCTACTAAATGTACCAGGCGTTGTTTGCAGACAAGCCAGGTAGAATTTCCCTGGCTCTCAGCCAGATATCTTCTTTGGGGCTCCTCCCCACTCAAGTTTCAGACTATTACTATTACTACTTACACCTTTTTTACTAATGTTTTTCACCTAAGCTGCTCTTCCTGCATTTTTCTTCTCATATATCATACCTTGAACGATCAGTTGTAAAAAAAAAAAAATCTGTACTGTGAGTAAGGAGGCAGGACCGACAACGTCCCTGTCACTTTCCCCAAGACCAAGTGGAGAACCCAAGTGAGAAAGGGCTACAACGGAATGGAGGTGACCAGCTCGACTGGTGAAAGAGACGAGCCGGGAAGGCTAAGGGAGGCAGGGGTTAAGGTGGACAAAAGGACGGGTCTATTATAAAAGGCAGGAAGAACTGGGCAGGAGAAGACAGGACCGCTAGAAGGGGTGGGAACAATAGTAGAGGAAATAACAGGACAGTTAAACAAGGCGGGAATGGAGGAGGCGGGGGGGAAGAGAATGATATATAAGGCCCAGCGAGTCAAAGAAGCTGGTAGAGGCTGATGAAGCAGATTCGCACAAGGGACCAAAAAGCTTTCCTCCTGGGTGGGAATGGACTTTTCTAGAGCATCCATGGACAATCAAGTGGAAGCATTTGATGGTACTATAAGAGGAGGTTGAGAGGAGGAGGAGAGTGGTGAAACCTGTCAAACCATCCTATTAGGGAGAGAGAAGTGAGAGAGTAGGGCAGGAGGAGATGAGAGGAGATGGTGAAAACAACCAGGGAGGACCAGGAGAGCCCTGGATGGTCAAGGACCTCTGGGACTGAGAAGCCCGAGACCCACTGTTGTGGGAATATTCCAAACCGGGAGATGAGATGGGGCCGGATAAAAACATTTGGGGGCGACTGGATGCCCCTGTTGCCAATGCCATCAGGCCCAATGTTGACAGACTCTCCTTTTGATAAAGGGTCTGGACAATCAGAGATGTGTTGACCTGTTCATGGAGCAAGAAAGAAGCCCCTTACACTGTTGCATGTGTAACAATTAATTAATTTCTAGACAGCCCATCTGGCAACTCAGGCAACTCTGGGCGGTTTACATAGTACCATAAACAAACTATAAAACAAATGCAATAATATAAACTAATCAACACAATATAGACACATAATAATATCAGTGGGACATTAAAATAAATTAAGAGCATGGTGGAGGTTGAACGTGAGCATATTCTAGTTATTTTAGCACTATTGTTTCAGATGTAGTAGCGTTCGGTAAGGCCTGTCTGAATAGAAATGTTTTTAATAATCGATTAAAACTTGCCAATGAAGGCACCAGGTGGATATCGGGCAGCAGAGCATTTCACAGTTGTGGGGTTTATGTCTGTTGATGTTAATAGTTTTTTTGGACTTACCAGAAATAAATGTTGTTGCTTTGGAAATATTAAAAGATCCCCAAGAAGTAGTACAGGAGCCCAAAGAGTTAAAGACTAAACCCTCACATGTACTTATTGCTTTTCTCATGAAAGTCAATGTTAGCTTTCTATATTTATGTGATTTCTTGATCTTTATACATTTGCTGTAGTACTTTGTTGGCCACATTGAAGAAATTCTTAGAATATATTGTCTATAGTGAACTAATAGTTGCTGCCCTCTTAGAATCTGCCTCTTTTCATGTGGATAATAGCACGTTTATCAACACCCAAATTAATTTTGATATCTGTACTGTAAGACTCAATGAAGTTAAAGAGACTATTAAATTTATCAGGCGAGCTTGCAAGTAATATTGTCCATGTACATTAAATGTGAAACATTTAGGCCATTTCTGTGATAATTAGGCTTATTGCCTTCAGCACAATCTCTCAGTTGTCTAGTTTAAAGAAAGGAAGAAGCATAACGAGGTTAAGGAACCCTTGAAAAAAACCTCTTCGAATAAGGATATTATTACAGAGGAGGCCTCTGCAGCATCATTTTGTTCTCCACTTTGCCATGAGTTTCGATAGTAATTAATCTATCACCAA